AAACATTGATCAAACATCTGGGTTGTGTAATGGTACAAGACTAATAGTTGAAGAGTTGCGAAGAAACGTTATCGGTGCAATTGTTGTATTAGGAAATAATGCCAGTGAGAAAGTTTACATACCAAGAATGAATTTGGTACCGTCAGATCCTGGATTGCCGTTTAAGTTTCAAAGAAGACAATTTCCAATATCTTTATGTTTTGCCATTACAATAAATAAGAGTCAAGGCCAAACATTGTCATTTCTTGGATTATTCTTGACCAAATCGGTATTCACTCACGGTCAACTTTACGTTGCAGTTTCACGAGTGGAAACCAAGAAAGGATTGAAAGTGTTAGTTTTAGATGACAGTGGTAACCCTAGCAATTGCACCAAGAATGTGGTTTACCCTGAAGTTTTTCAAAAAATTTGGATTTAATTAATACATTTATACATTTGATTCCAATTTTGTTTCCCATTAAATTTAGTTATCATACTCTGTTTGTGTTGTATCATTTATTAAAATTCTAACATTCTCTATTATATTTATCTTCATTTTTTAATTATGTACTTAAAACAAACATTTTAAAAGAGCTAAAAATAACATGCGTTCGACCCCGTGCGTTGCACGGGTTAAATACTAGTGTAATATATAAAGAACTAGATATGTGGCATGTACGGCAATTTAACCATATTTATTCTCTTCAATTATTTCACCTTTTTTTTTACTTTTTTTCCAAAAATTATAATTACTTATTTTGAACTCATGGATCCAAATTTGGAATTAAAATTAATTTCCCTATAATTTATTATTTTTAATAAAATATTAATTTTCTCACTACGATACGTAAAATTATTTATAATACATGTCTCGGATTCGATAAATCATAAAATTTTCAAAAACATATTTTGAATAATAAATAAAATATACTCGTCACCTATAAATAAATTCTATATTTGTTCATTATACGTTTACATGCTATTCGTTTGATTATACTTATTTAAATATTGACACCTATTAAATAAAATATTTTCTTCACCTATGAATAAATTTTATGTTTTTTATAACTGATATTTCACCTAATTTAAGATATAGAAAATGTGAATTCAACATTTTGATATAAAATCTTGGGATAAATTTAATTATCAAAGAGAAGTATTCATCTTTATGATAATATTCTTTCCAAATTCAATACAACTTTTTTACTCTCTTCAATTATAAAGAACTATTAAATATAAAATAAGATGCTTTTTTCACATATAAATAGCTTTCATACGAGTATTAGTTTTTGATATGTGTAGAAAATAGTAATGGAGAATAATTCTATATTGAACTGTTTTGGAGATTACAGAGATTGAACCTTCTTTATACAAGAAGAGAGTAACACAAATAAGTAAATTCTATTCCTACCATAATTTTATTTCTACTCTAACAAGAATAGGAAAACTAGCAAACCTTATTCTGTTCCTATTTTATTCCTATTTTGTTTTGGGGTTTGCTAGTTCCCCAAGGTTCCCATGACATTGGGAACCAATATCATTGGATAACCCGGGGGCGCTTCGGTGCCCCGTTCATAAAATTGACGGTTCGGAGTGGTGTATTCGGGTCGGATCTGGTAGGAATGAGCGACTCAAACTAAGAGCTTGTTCTCTTCAACTTATTCTTTTTACTTATTACCTATTCTTATTGGAATCAGATCACATCAAAAATTGCTTTAAATATAACTACAATCAATTCTTATCAGATCAGAAATTAATTGAATCAGATGAGAAACAATCATATAATTGAAGAGAACAAGCCCTAAGTCATAAGATATTGGAGCCAAACCATGCTAAAATGTTGAATTTACTTGACAAACTATTATTGTAAAATATACTTCTTTCTCAATTACCATAATGTGAGTGATGGATACCCGGGAATGGGGGTATCCAGCCCAACAGGAAAATGGCCCAGCCCAATTACGCCAAGGCCCACTTGGCAAAACCAAGATGAAGGACCATCAAAGATCACCTCGGCAGATGTCATGCGATCGGCCTCAGCAGTCTCGCTCACCTTCGGACCGATCCGGCCGGTCTCCCGTCCGGAGAACTTCCGAATATATGTCATATACTCGGCCTCGGCCATGAACAGCGACAGACCAGACAGACAAGGGAGCTGGCGTGGTCAAGGTCAAGGGGCCCACGATTAGACTCCTGCCATGCCTCTGGCAGAGTTGCTATAGCCACCCTACTGGTTACCTACTTTGTATAACAGTCCTAGGGATAATTATGTGGTTGGACGCCGCCAGTGAACAACCCAATCTTAGTGGGCCCAGACCATTGGATTACGGACCAACGGTCGGAACCCTAGCTGTAATGACCGGCCGCGTGGACGATGGGAAGAAGAACGGGGATAACCGAGGCAAGAAGCCGGCGGGAACTCAGCAGAAGAAGAGGAAGGAGATAGGTCTCCCGAGCGACGAGGAAGAAGAAGACAATCCTAGACAGAAGAGGGTTGAGGAGAACAGAATGATCTACGGTGGCAACACCGGGGGAGATAGTGCCGAGAAAAGAAAGAAATGGGTACGCTCGGCTTACGTCGGAGATGTTCACAGTGCACCTGGACCGTCGAAAATCACGAAGACAGAGCCCCTCCTATTTGGTCCCAAGGACCTGCCTGAGATCCCATCACCCCACAGAGACGCTTTGGTCGTCAGGTGTGAGATCAACGAGGTGGTAATCCACCGATCCTACGTTGACAATGGGAGCTCGGTAAACATTATGTATGCAATGACATTTGAGGAGTTGGGATTAAAGAAGGAACTCTTGAAGAGGGTAAGGACTCCCTTGTCCGGATTCACGGGGGACATCATCGATTCAGAGGGCCTAGTCGAGGTGATGGTCACCTTCGGCGATGGAGAGCATAAAAAGACGATCCCGGTTGAATTTTTGGTGGTACGACTTCTGGGATCCCATAATCTGATCTTGGGTCGGCCTGCACTGGAAGATCTCGACTCCGTAACATCGGTGAAGTATTTGAGCATGAAATTCCCCACCGATTCAGGGGTAGGAGTGTGCAGAGGAAACCAGAAGCTCGCCCGACTCTGCTACCAAAAGCAAACCAAGAAGATGGACGCTCAGGATCTCAGGGTGGACAGTATTGCCACGGCACTTTTGAAGGAGGAAGAAGGACGTCCCCGAGCCGAGCCGGCCGAGGACACAGAAGACGTGGTGATAATGGAGGAGCAGCAGGAGAAGAAAATCAAGCTCGGTATTAACATCAGTGCCGAGCTTCGATCGAAAATCATACAGGTACTCAGGGAGAATTTCGTGGTGTTTGCATGGAGTGTCAAGGATATGCCGGGAGTGAGCAAATCCCTGATCACTCACCGCCTCGCGGTCGGATCGGACGCAGAGCCTATAAAGCAAAGAAGGAGGCACTTGAGCAAAGACCGGAGGGATTTCGTAAAAAAGGAGGTGGACATGCTCCAAGCAGCGGGACATGTCAAGGAGATCAAATACCCCACCTGGCTGGCCAACGTCGTGCTGGCACCGAAGGGGCAGACGTTTAGGATGTGTGTGGATTACACTGACCTAAACCGAGCTTGTCCTATGGACCCCTTCCCTTTGCCCAACATTGATCAGATGATCGACGAAACGGCCGGATGCGAAGTCATGTCTTTCATGGATGCATTCAGAGGATACCATCAGGTGTTCATGCACGAAGAAGATGCCGAGAAGACGGCGTTCCTCACCCCGGAGGGGGTGTACTGTTATTTGGTGATGGCATTCGGGCTAAAGAATAGCGGAGCCACGTATACAAGGATGGTCAGCCGAGTGTTCCACTCGGTCTTGGGAAAGACGATGGCAGCATATGTGGACGACATGATCGTCAAGAGCAAGCAGGCTTCCAACCATGCGGAGGATCTAGCCCAGGTTTTTTCTATTATGCGCAAGTTCAATTTATGTCTTAACCCCAAAAAATGTACATTTGGTGTAGAAGGTGGAAAGTTCCTCGGATACCTCGTGAGCCAACGAGGTATTGAGCCCAACCCCGAGAAGGTCAAGGCGATCCTGGACATGGAGGCCCCCCGTTCTATAAAAGAAGTACAGCGCCTGACGGGGAAGATGGCTGCACTCGGCCGATTTTTGTCAAAATCCACCGAGAAGAGTATTCCTTTCTTCGGCACACTGAAGAAGGTCCCACAATTCCAGTGGACACCCGAATGCCAGGCGGCATTCGAAAAACTGAAGAAGTATTTGCTAACCCCGCAGGTGTTAGCGAAGCAGGTCAAGGGCGAGAAGCTGTACCTTTACTTGGGAGTTAGCCCGGGGGCCATAAGCTCCGTCTTGTTGCGAGAGGAGGGGGACACTCAGCGCCCTATCTATTATGTTAGTCGAACCTTGAGGGATGCCGAGCTCAGATACTCGGTGGTGGAGAAAACAATCTTGGCCGTTGTTAACACGGTCAAAAAGCTGAACCATTACTTCCAAGCCCACGAAGTGGAAGTAAGGAGTCATCAACCTGTGAGCATCATCATCAGCAATCCGACGGCCTCTAACAGGGTCATCAAGTGGTCTGTCTATCCGAGTCAATATCAGATAGAGATGAAGCCGAGGGCAGCAATCAAAGCCCAGGCCTTGGCCGATTTCATGGTAGAATGTACTGCACGTGACAACAACCCCATACCCGTGGCGGAGCAGGGAGAATGGTGGACTTTATCTACTGATGGATCGTCAGCTGCAAAGGCTTGCGGTGGGGGCGTGGTAATCCAATCACCGGAAGGATTCCGCTCCTATCATGCAATAAAATTCCAGTTCAAGGTGTCCAACTACGAAGCCGAGTATGAAGCATTACTAAGCGGACTGAGGCTCATCCTCAACCTGAAGGCCGAGTACATCAGGATCAGGTGCGATTCGCGCCTGGTCGTCAGTCAAATCAAAGGAGAGTTCGACACCAAGGAGGAACGGATGCGCCTATACAAGGAGGCGGCCTTAGAGTTGCTCAAAATCCTCAAAGGATATGAGCTCGTGCAGATCCCAAGGGCGGAAAACACCGAGGCAGACGTCCTCTCCAAACTGAGCAACGACAGCCCCGAACATATCTCCAAGATGGCTCACATTGAAAACCTGGGAACCCCAAGCATCCACGTATAGCTCCTCTCTTTTGTCACCGAGGGGGCCAGCGGCTGGATCGCGGAGTTAATCCGGTATAAGAAGGATGGGATTCTCCCTGGCGATAAGACGACGACCCGTTTGATCAAACGGAGGGCGCCAACGTACGTCATTGAGAATGGCCGACTATACAAAAGATCGTACAACGGCACGTTGCTAAGATGTGTTGATGAAGCCAGGGCGGGGCAAATCATGGAAGAAGTGCACGAAGGAGTATGCACGGCACATCAAGGTCCTTTCTCCATGGCCATACGCATTGTCTTGCAGGGATACTTCTGGCCGACCATGGTGAAAGACTGTGCCAAGCGCGCCAAGCGTTGCAAGGTATGCCAAGTTTTCTAGAACATTCCGGGAAAACCAGGAACCAGTTATCACCCCATCAGCTCGTCGATTCCTTTTGCCCATTGGGGAATAGACTTGATCGGACTGATGCCGAGGGCACCTGGCAATTTCCGTTGGATCATTGTGGCCATCGATTACTTCACGAAGTGGATCGAGGCCGAGCCTTTAGTGGGAGGAACTTCAGAGCAATGCTCAAAGTTTGTGAACAACAATATACTCTGCCGATATGGTGTCCCAAAGCAGATCACTACGGACAACGGAACCCAATTCGAAGCCGGAGATTTCAATGAACTATTAGGAGATTGGAAGATAAGGCACACCTACAGTTCTGTCGCCTACCCGCAAGGAAACGGCCAAGTAGAGAACGCCAACCGAACAATCATGGACGGGATCAAGAAGAGGCTGGAATCTTACAATGGAGCATGGGTGGACCAACTTCCCAACGTGCTGTGGGCATACCGCACAACTCCGAGGAGGGCGACAGGGGAAACACCATTTTCCATGTGCTACGGTCTGGAAACAAGAGCACCCTCGGAAGTGTTCATTCCAACATGGAGAGAGGAGAACTATGAAGCCAGGGAGAACGAGGAAACCATGGCGGCCGATCTCAACTTTGTTGAAGAGCGCCGGGAGCAGGCTTTCCTCAAAGCAGAAAACTACCGAAGGCAAGTAAAAGAGTACTACGACCGCAAAGTCAGAGCAAGGGAATTCCGAGTAGGGGACTTGGTACTTAGGAAAAGGGAAGCCAGTCAGCCTACAGAAGGAGGAAAGTTTGCCAAAAGCTACGAAGGACCATACAAGGTCACAGCCGTGCTCAGGCCGGGCACCTACAAGCTCGCCACGATCGAAGGGCGCGAACTCGGCAAGCACTGGAATACGCACAATCTCATTTCTTTTTACATGTAAGGCACTGAGAACCGTAACCAGAACGGCGATACATCATTATTCAAGCACAAGAACGTGAAGCACTGTTTCCCGAATGGTCAAAATACACATTTATTTCTTCAGAAAATGAAGAATCTACTGAGGAAGCACCATGGTCGACTGCGAGCTACGCCTTGAGGTCGGAGATGGTCGTCTTCTTCCGGTGAGCACGACGAAAGCCTTTGAGGTAGGCACGCACGTTCGTGCCCACCTTGCGCACCAAACGGCCAGACTTCTGCGCAGCCTCTGTTCGATCAGGTTCCCGGCGGAAGGGACTTTGGAAAGAATCCTCACTCAAAGAAGGCAGATCGGGATAAGTAGACTTCCCCACCGCAGTCGGAGCGGTGGCAAAGTTGGGCGAAGACGAATCTGCCATAAGGAAGGAACAAGGTGGAGTAGCCCGAATGAAGGACGTTCCCTCTTCAAGGGAAGGAGTACCAGGGCTTAACGCCATATTACAAAAAGGAAGCAAGTAAAAGAAAGGAACAATGCATCATATTTATAATCAGCACAGGGCACTTACTACAAAGACATTCATTACGCACGAAGTCAAGCTCCATTACAAAGGTTTCCTCGAATACTACAACATTTATTACAAGCCCTACGCGATACGGTTGCAACACAGGCAACATTTATTACACAGCGGACACTGAGAAAGGAAAAGATGCGACTTTCTCTACCTCCCAATGGCTTTGGGGATCTTTCTCCCTTTGTCCGAAAATCCATGGGGAGGTAGACACCCCCCGGGCCCAATGGACTTCAGGACAAACAAAGCCCAGGCGCCGAAGGACGTGGATGGCCCCCCTATTCTGCAAACCTCCATCGGCAAGTATACAGGGGAGGGCCGTAATAGGGAAACTCAGGAAGAGCCGACAGACTCTTCCGGGTGATTGTCACCTGAGGGGATGGCATCAGCAGCTGGCTGAGCAGACTCAACCGGGGACGCTACCTGTTGGGGAACTCCGTGAAGGTAGTTCACAAGTCTTTGCAGACGTTTGATCCGCCTTTCCAACTTCTTCGCACGGTACCACCATGAGCTTGTACGCGATTCGGCATCCTCCGGTGAAGGAGGAGGGCGGCGACGGGAGGGCTCCGGTCGAGGGGTCTTTTTCCGGGAAGGAAGAGGACCGATCTCCTTAGGATTATTGGAAGCCATGAAAAGATTTACTAAAGGAACGGAGGAATGGACTTCACGATGCAAGGAGAAGGCCAATTTATAAGCCCATGAACGAAGGGATAAGGGAATTGAACAGTCGCAGTGGTTAGAGATGAACTGTGCGTAGTGACACGTGTGTGGTACAGAGCGACGGTCCAGTGGTTAGGTCTGTTTGCGTGGGAAAGCCAAAGAGTCAGTTCCTCAAAAGGCGCAATTCAAATTTTACAAATAAAAATGTCAGAAGTCTACTCAACTATTCACGCATGCAATGAAACAGTAATCAAATTTTCATTACAACAAGGGATAAGATTTCAAAATATTTCAAGGAAAACATTAAGGGTGAACATCTGAGGGTGGTTCTTCGCCGACATCCTTATCTGCACCCGTATCCTCGTGCTCGGGCGTCCCAAGGTAATCCGGATTCTCCCCGAGCTCGTCGTTCAAGTTGGGATCATGCATCTCGGGAATGTCGACCCCAGGCGGAGGGAAGGACGGATCTACTCTCCTGGTCCGGCGAAGGACGAGATTGATCCCATGATGGACTCCACTCTCGAACCACTTCGTCCCCTCCACTGCCATTTTCTCAGTGTCGGCCTCGGTTTTTAGCCAATCTTCATAGAAGGCGGCCATCCTTTCCAGGCAGGTTTCTTTGAAAGACGGGGACTGAAGGAAATCAGAGACGGCGCGCTCCTTCTCGGCAGCAACGACTTGCTCCCTCTCGGCAAGAAGCTGATCCCGCTCCACTTCCGCTGACCGCTGCGCGGAGACAACTTCGGCCAATTCAACATCCAGCTCGGAGATTCGGCCCTCGGACTGGCGCAGTCGCCCCTCGAGCCCGGCCATTGAAGCCGTCAGTTGGGAGGCTGATTCCTCCGACTCTTTCAAGAGGCCCTGCACCCGGACCACCTCCTCAGACTTCGCCACGGCTTGCATTTCAAGCTCGGCGGCTCGTTCGCGCTCGGTTTCCGCCAACTTCCGTAGGCGGGACAACTCCGTTTCCACCGAAGCCAGGAAGTTCACGGAAGAAGAGAACTCGGCCCCGGCTCGACGTTCGATGATCAGGCTCAGTTTCGCCGACACCTGAGAAAAATCGGGTCAATTATTCGCACAAATAAGGAGAGTTAAGACATCGAGAACCTGACCTGTTTGTGGAAACTGTCCATAAGCCCCTGCAAGGACGAAAGAATCTCGTCCTCATCTTTGAGCGTCGCGGAAAAGGGAAGCAGCCTCGGCCTCAGCTTGCACATTCTCGTCGGCCTTGTCAAAGGAAGTGGGACTCTTTCCACCTCGAAGACAGCCTGGGCGTTTGCCCGTTGGACTCTCGGTCAGAACCACATCCTGCTCGGACGCGGTTTCCTCGTCCTCAACCTGGATGAGCATCCTCTTTCTTTGATTCCGGGCTAGAGCCCCTTCCTGAGTCCGGGCCGAGGCAACAGAACCAGTTGCGCCCACGGGTGGAGATCCTTGTTGAACCTCCGCTCCTCGGCCTCGGTTTCGAGCCAACAGTTTGGCCTTGCGAATGACTTCCACCGGATTCATATCCCCTGCCAAAACAAAACAATAGTTAAAAGACTCGGCATCCAACATGAAAAACCTTGATAGGAGGGACAAATCTCCAGAAGGCTTCGTACCAGCAACCCCCTCAGAGCAGGATGGCTGCCATGATTCTTCATCGTTTCCGGCCTCCCCGCCATCTTCCCTTTCGTTGTCCCCCGACTCTATATCTTCCGACCTCGGGGCACTCTCCTCAAGCCCATGCTTAGGGAGACTCTCAAGCACGGCCTCGGACAACTGGAATTGGCGCTCGAGGGAGATAAGGATCCCCACCTCCGCCAAGTTCTGCTCCGTACACACCGTGTACACGTGAGGCGGTTTAGGCCGACAATCTTCCAACAGCTTTTGCGCGTGTGCTTGAAGCTCGGGAGTGGCCGCAGGCCAAGGATGGCGAATGAATGTATGACATTCGGGAAACCTGGCGTGGAAGGGATGCCGGTCCCTGGGAAAGCCAGAAATAAAGACGAACTTGGCCTTCCAGAGTTTCAAAGATGAGGGAAAAACGGCCATGCCACACTCGGCCTGGGAAGAGACGACGGCATACGAATTTCCTTCAAAGGCCCCCACTTTGGAAATTTTGAACATATAACGGAACAAATCCAAAGACCAGGGGACTCCCCTCTGGTGGCACTTAATCAGGAAGATTGAGAAACAGTAATAGGAGTGGGGACTGAGCTGACCCGGCAGAAGATTGTAGAAGTTCAGAAATTGGACTATCAGATCGTGAGGAGGGAAGCGAAGGTCGTAGCGCATGGACGCCACATGCACCCCGACCTCGGTGTCGGGGCAGGTCACTGAGAAGACATGGTTGGTTGTGTGCGGTCGGCGCACTACGTAGCCGTCTCCCACGAAGCGGAGCACCTCGTCAAAGTCAATGTCCAACAGAAGACAACCCGTATTTGTAATCGGACCCGTTTCCAGTGCGGTAACGGGTAAGGACTTCGGGTTCTTCCTTTGAACCGTTCTTGATTTCTTCTTTTTCTTATTCAAGGGCGGCGCCTGAGACGACGACGCCACGGTGACGGACGTACGAAGAGGCACCGCACTCAGAATCCTAGAATGGTCAATTCCTCCCGTCAAGCCGTCGGGGCGGAGGGACGGATCTAGACGGTACATTTCTTCAAAGCAAACCACCGCTGAGTCGACAGCGGGGGTGGAAGGATTGGAATCAGAAGACGTCATGAAAGCGAGGAGGAGTGGACTAACATTCAGGTGGTGCTGCGACGGCGGCGGCGATTAAGCGGAGATTTTGAGTAGAATCGACGGAAAAGTTGCGGCGCAAAAAAATGGCGAAAGTGGAGAAGATTGGGAGAATCCCCAGTTTTATACATTAGAGAGATCCGACCCGACTTAATGAAAAGGCACAATTGCGAAGAGACGTGGCGCTTCTTTAGGCGCACGATCTGGAATCATCGTGAACGGCTGACAAAGAAACAGTACAGAGACGTTGCGTCTCCCAAGTAGTACAATCATACTTCTCAGAATCGAGGGGACACGTGTGAAATTTTTCCAGTTGGGACACTTGTTAGAATAAAGGCCTAACGCTAGAGGGGGGGTGAATAGCGTTTAAAACAAAATCGCAGGAAATTAAAACGAGAGCGTTAAAGTAAAGAGCGTAAAGAAGGAGCACACCGGATTTTATCCTGGTTCACCACAACGTGTGGCTAATCCAGCCCCCCGAGAGACTCTCTCGAGCTACACTAACTCCGTTAAGCTTAAGGGTGCTTAACAAACCGATACAACTTGAGAACCCGAGTCACACGAGCCTCAACACCTTTGCTCGGAGATACCGCACTCCAAGACTTCTCACGAAGGAACAAGGAACTTCNCTCACAAAGAGTAGATATGAGTGAACTAGTAAACGCTCAAGAACACGACAATTTCTTCAAGAATTGGCTCTCAAATAGCTAAGAAAAATAGGAATGCTTATGCAATGAAAGAGTATTGAAATGTTGAAGAATTGTATGTTAAAAGAGAGGATTTGGGTGCCATTTTATAGCCCAAAATGGGATAAACCCGTTGCTAGAATTTCCAACAGGATGAAGACAAATTTTTCAGGGACACAGGCTGATAGTCGATTGTCAAACCATGATAATCGATTATCCAAAGATTCCCTATCCAAAAATTTAAAATTCTATCCGTTGGAGGACAACGGTAACCCAGATAATCGATTGTCAACAAGTGATAATCGATTATTGGTCCTCTTAGAAGATTCTGGGTTATGGCTGCAAAGGGTGACAATCGATTATTGAAAAGCTGATAATCGATTATTGCGTGCTTCAGAACTTGGAAGTTCAAAGATGCAGTGGCTGATAGTCGATTGTCACTAAGGTGATAATCGATTATCACCCAGCTAAAGTCTAGCCAGCTGAAACCCGTTTTGAAAAACCGAGGTCCAAAAACGAAGTGTTCCCAAAAGTAAAAACCAAGTATGAAAAACATTGTATACGGTATAAAATAGTGAAAAAAAGACTTGTTTGGTAAAAACCAAGTCCTCAAGGTTGTAAATCACGTGCGTACGGTTTTGACCGTTTTTCACGTGTTAGACCGATTGACCAAGATACAAAAGTGGTTTTTATAAAATAATTATTCGGGAACCTTTAAAATATGCTCAGAGATAAAAACAGGGTTTAAAATATTGAAAACCACAGAGTTGGTTCGGGCGCCAAAGACCGAACGCCGAAAACCGAACGTCGAAAGCCGAACGCCGAAAGCCGAGCGCCGACTTAGGTGGTTTTGGTTCTGAGCAAGGACCAGGGATTTTTAACAATAAAAGAAGTCATCAAAAATGTTTGTTTTGATGCACAAAAAAATGTGTTATGGTTTGTAAAAATTGTTTTGACTTTTTGAGAACCGAGACTTGAATAAATTGTCGGTTTTGATCAAAAAAGACCGACTCGACTAAGTCTTCAATTCTTGATCTTGTCCTTGAGTCTTTTAGGTCTTGTTCCAAGCCATTCTTCATGCCTTGAGTTATTCAACGAAACTCTTCATATCCACGGCGGTTTGGCAATTATCAAAACCTGTCAGAAATGAACACGACTTTAGTTTAACGTACAAAGTGTGTTCCAACAATTTCCCCCTTTTTGATAATGGCAAACAAGACGGGGATATGCATAGGGTTTTGATCCTTTTGAAAAAAAAATTCCCCCTTAAAAAAAATTCCCCCTTAATATATGCATAGCCCTTATCTTCCCCCTTTTGACATTAACAAAAAGATTGTTAACAACAAAAATCATAAAGATTTTTATTAATTAATTAAGGGAAATAGCGGAGTACATAACGAAAGCATATTAAAAGATGATAAAATAAGAGAAGAAAGTAGAGCTAGAGCTCTAGAAATCCGGGGAAAGATCATTGAGAAGTGGTTCTTCGTCAATGTCTTCTTCTTCTTCTTCATCTTCATCACCATCGCCATCATCATCATCATCATCATCATCATCTTCTTCTTCTTCTTCTTCTTCATCGTCCATTTGAGCGTACGGGTAATTGACAAAGTCAAAATACCCGTGAAGTTCACGGATCAAGGTATTGACGTTGTGTGCCGTTTTGGAGACGTTGGTGTCAATCCGAGAGAGAGTGGCGGTTAAGGCAGCCATTTGCTCGGCGAGAGAAGGATTGGTTCACATGGTGGTGGCTGAGGCAGTGGCTCTCGGTTGTCGGCGTGGACGAGGCTGTCGAAACAGAGTCTCGTCGGTGCCCGAGTGGAAAGAGGATTCATCAATCTCCCAATGCTTTGTCCCCTTTATCTTTGGCCCAACATCGGTTTTGATGTTATATTCTTCAAGAATCGCCATGACAAGGAGGGCGTAGGGGAGCGGCCGGTTGTCGGAGGTGGCGTTGAACATGTGGATCATCACAAATTTACACCAATCGATATTGGCGTTGTGAATCATCGCATGGATCGTCTTCGTGTCTTCTTGGGAGAGAGTGGTGTGGTTGAACTTCCTGGGCTTGAGGATCCGTGTCAACACATAAAAGATGAAACGATACACGGGACTCATGGAAGAAATCGTAGGGCGCCGCTGTTGGGGAGTGGGTACGAAGTGTCGGATGCCCACTTCCTCCAAGAGAGCGGTCTCATTGAACCGCGCTCC